TGTCATGTTAGAGCCAAAATTATGCATGTGCGAGCATAAGATTTTAGAATATAAGATCCTTGAAGACAAGGATTCTTTACTACACGCCTCAAATGAATGGGATGCTTAAAGGTTGGAAACAGTAACCTAGTGTGTTTTGGAGCCTGTTGGGTTTAGAAATCTTTCGTGAAGGGCCTGCCGTGGGCTGAACACTGTAGTGGAGTTGGGGATACACAGGTAACACTCAGGCCTTCAAGTGGCCTTGCAGTGAGCTGAGTGCTGAAAGGTTGGGGTCCCCCTGTGGCGAGGGGTTTCAGAGGCACAGGGTCCCCTGCTTTCCTCAGCACCAGTGTTCTCTGCTTCTCCTTGCACGTTGACCCCATTGTCTCCGGTTACAGAAGTGTCTCCTCTGAGAGGGAAGAAACACAGCTATGGGTGCCCGTATTGGCAGCCTGAGAAAGGGCTCCTTGTCTCAGGAAGGAGCCTGACCCCATTGGAAGCATGTTAGTATTGCCACGGGGGTGAGAAGCGCTGTCCAAAACGGGATAAAGTGCCTTGACCAGAGGCAAGTCTAGCATCCCCGGGTCCCATCCGGTGGGTGCGCACGGGCTGGAGGAGCCCAGCCGGTGGTCAAGTTTGAGAGAGGGTTACGGAAGAAAAGGGGGGAGGGAAGGACAAACTGTGCACCATCGGGCAGGGGAAACAGTTCCTAGGGCAGAAGTATGATTTACTTTGGTCCGCTGAAACTGACCAAGGTGGGAGGATGTATACCTTGAAAATGGGCCAATGCCATAAGTCAGGGCCTTTTAAAACCGCTACGTGACTGATAAGAATAGCAATACCGAAGTTGAATTTACTTGTATGCCAGGCACAGCTCTAAGCTCTTTACATCCGTTAATCCCATGGCACTGGTTTCTTGCAGGCAGGATCATGTGTGTGTGTGTTTTATGGTCCTTAGCATGTTGTACTTCAGAATGACTCAGTACATGTTCATGTTCATTGATATTTTGGAATGATTGAATAAAAATCTATGTAGCAGGTAAAGGAGTAGCGTTCAGTCATCTGTGGGCTTCAGGAATCCCACTCTGTCCTACAGGCTTGGAATTTCTGGGTGGTTTTAAGAACCATCACCTGTAGTTGTGAATCACCAACAGGGTGGAGAACTGTTGATCCGTAGTGTTGACATAACGTGTGTCGATTTACATTGACCTGGATGAAGGCCCCATCGGCATGGCATGGGGGTGCATTTATAGTGCCTTTATCAGCTTTGCCACACTGAGTAGCTCTATTTGACCAAGAGCCTTTGCTCACCCCGCACTCATTTCCTGACACTCATACCTTAGCCCCTAACTTCAGCCACGTACCCCCTGAACGTGTCCCCTCCCCTCTGGATTCACCCACCTGAGTGCTCCTCTTGCAGATGTCGGTGAAAACATCACTTCAGGGAGGCCTCTCCCACTCCTTTGCCTGCCTGTCCTTGCTTCCCCCCATGCCATCCCATGCTGTCTAACCGTGTCGTGGGTTAGCATCTGTAGAGGAGGGTCAGGCCGCTCAGTGTGGGTCAGACACACGGCTGAGTCTGGCCCCTGACCTCGGTCTGCCTCAGGTTCAAGTGCATGTGATGCTGGCCCAAGAACACTCTGAGGGAGAATGGGTTGGGGCTGATGTAGACCTCCATCCACCTTTTGCCTGCGTTCTGTTTGGTATGCACAGTTCTTGGAACATTGAGCCAGCTCTTTAAAGACAAAACAGATCTTTCACTCCAAAAGCTGGGATTTCGTTGTTGGTGAGAAGTCAGATCTGTCAACGACCAGCAAAGCGTTTTTGTTGCTTTGCTGCTTTGTGCTTGCTTCCAGAGGCTTCTGTTGCTCTTTTTCCTGTTTTTCTTATGGTGGAAAAATAAGAGGTATTTCCTGTACCTAATGGAGGTTGCAGATTCCTCCTGGGGATCACCTGCCTGGTGCCCATGTGTATTTCTCTTTGAGACACCTTTGTGTCAAATTGCAAGACTGAAACAATTAGGTAACCCATTTGATGTCCTGTATTCAAGAGAAAACAATCCATGGGTTGGGGTACAGTGCCTCCCGAGCAGTGGACCGCTCCCCCAGAAGGATTTTGGGCAAGAGTGAGCTGAGAGAGCATTAGAGGAGGCAACACAGAAACAACATGACTGGCCAGGAGGTCAGGGATTCCCTTATAAGGCTGACAGGTAAGGTAAGCTAAACCGGAGTTGGAGGATTGCGATTGGTATATGCTAGGTTTCCTTACAGGTGTGTTCCCCGAAAGTGCAGGCTGAGCAAAGCTATTATAGGTGAGCTGTAGACAAAGCTCTGGGTGGTTTTTCTTTACTACTTGATTCTTTGGCCACTACTTCCTCTAGGTCTTTTTTTTCTTTTTTCTTTTTTGACCCCTTTGGGGGTCGAACGACCCTTTCACAGGGGTCGCCTAAGACCATCGGAAAACACATATATAATTACATATTGTTTTTGTGATTAATCACTACGCTTTAATTATGTCCAATTTGTAACAATGAAATTGGGGGTCACCACAACATGAGGAACTGTATTAAAGGGTCGCAGCATTAGGAAGGTTGAGAACCACTGCTCTAGGTGTTTTTTGTCTTTTGTCTTTTTTTGGCTCTAACATGACAGTGGTTTTTAACAATATTTCTTCCAAATGAAGGTGACTGCAGAGGAGAAGCAGAGAACACTTAGCTTTAGCTTTGTGACGTGGGCTGGGCCACTGGGACAACCTCCACTTTGTGGCCCTGGTACAAGAATTAACTTTATCACCTGAGGTGGGGCCTTTCGGCAAGGCTGCACCAAGCATAGATGTGATCATAAAGTGCTCAATATGTTTATTGTCTCCGTCATGTGTTGAATAAGTTTACAAAGCTTGCCAAGTCTTTTTTTTTAAATATATTTTTATTGATTTTTTACAGAGAAGAAGGGAGAGGGATAGAGAATTAGAAACATCGATGAGAAAGAAACATCGATCAGCTGCCTCCTGCACACCACACCCCCTAATGGGGATGTGCCTGCAACCAAGGCACATGCCCTTGACCAGAATCGAACCTGGGGCCCTTCAGTCCGCAGGCTGGCGCTCTATCCACTGAGTCAAACCGGTCAGGGCGCTTTGCCAAGTCTTAATGATCTCCATTCCCTTGGAATTCAGGAGAAAGATGAGTAATTGTCCTTGGTTGTATAATTGTATACTGATGATGGTACAATTTTGGAGGGAAAAAAAAAAGACACTACAGGTACTAGGGGGCTCGTAGGGGTGGTTTAATGCAGGGGTCCTCAAACTTTTTAAACAGGGGGCCAGTTCACTGTCCCTCAGACCGTTGGAGGACCAGACTATAGTTTTAAAAAAACTATGAACAAATTCCTATGCACACTGCACATATCTTATTTTGAAGTAAAAAAACAAAACGGGAACAAATACAATATTTGTATTTGCATGTGGCCCGCGGGCCGTAGTTTGAGGACCCATGGTTTAATGGCTTGTGAAGGGCATTAAACTGAAGAGCTTTATAATTAAGATCTTCCCTTCTCCCAGTGCCCCATGAGTGATTCCATCCAGTCTTCAGGTCTGTGAAATTCAGAATGAATAGTGAATTTTATATTTAACCTCTCTTTTTTCTTTCCCTTTGCCTACAGCTCATTTATGATAGCTTTGCTCAGTTCCTGGTCAAGGAGAAAGGATATGACAAGGAATTGCTCACTGTGACTCCAGAGGACTGGGACTTCTGGTAGGTCCTTGTTTTTAAGGTTTGCACGTCCCTTCTGATTTCTAATTGTTGCTGATAAAACTTTAATGCCTCCTCTTCTATGGAGGCAGAAAGTGAAATGTGAAATTGAGTCAAAGGACAAAATGCCTTCTCTACTAAAAAATGTTATGTTTAATGAATGAATGTCCTTTCTACTTTAAGTTTAGACTCAAATATGAAAACAAGCCAAGAGGGCATGTGACTAATGTGGATATTTTCACATGGTTAAATTTGTCATTATTAAGAGTTTTGGAGGTTTTAAGAGCTATCTCTAAAATTTTATCTTTTAAGAAGTTTTGTTTTATTGCTCTTCAAATACAGAAGTATAGCAGAAGAAGAGCCATGTTTTGGATAAGTATCTGAATTAGGAGATTTGGTTTTTCTGTAATTGGACAGACATTCCTTTGTCTAAGACTCTTATTCCCTTTCTGGGTTAGGATTCTCAAGGCTTCCTTTGTCTTTCTTCCTCCTTTAAATGACAAAACCAAATGATAATCCTGTTAGACCACTTTACATTGTTTAGTTGAAAATTAATAATAATCCTAAAACACGTGAAAAATCCTAAAGCAACGATGTTCCTCCGTTATGCGTTCTTCCGATGTTTGGTCAGCCCTTTGTTATTCAATCCCTTTTGTAAAGGAGAAGCAGAAACATTTTACTATATGAATCTGCTGACTCTGGAAATTTTACTATGGACCCAAGTAAATCATACTTCTAAAGTACCTGCCTTTTTTTGTTTAATTCCCTTGGTATTTGTTGGCTATTATAACTCCTTGCTTTTATTATTTATAATAATGAATCTGTATCCATTTTTCTCCCCAAACTTAATATTTGACTTTCTTTTAGTTGTTTTCAATAATATACCTTGCCCAGAGGGCTAGTTTATAACCTGACCTAAGTTAAGGCAAATTCTAAAGAGTAAGGAAAGACTCTGGCTAAGATCTGAACTTGCAGAATATGTGTGTGTGTGTGTGTGTGTGTTATTTAATAAAAACATTTTCACTTTTTAAAAAATCCTCACCCAAGGATGTGTTTTTCATTGATTTTTTTTAAGAGAGAAAGGAAGGGAGAGAGAGAGAGAGAGAGAAAGAAACATCGATGTGAGAGAGAAACATGGATCGGTTGCCTCCCAGACACTCCCCAATTGGGAATCAAACCCACAACCTAAGTATCTGCCCTGACTGGGATTTGAACCTACAACCTTTTAGTGTTCAGGAAAATGCTCCAACCAACTGAGCCACCGAGCCAGGGCACCATTTTCACTTTTTAACAGAGACATGCAATGAGGTTCATTTTTGCTTCTCTTTGAGTTTGTATTTCTCTTTTTAAAAGTTTAAGAATTTTAGAAAGTAAACATGCTGTCCTTCGTTTGTTCACATAACAGTTTTCTTTATATACTTTCTCTGTGGATGATATTTAATTTTAGAGTTCTTGGATATTCTTAACTGTATGATTAACGTATCATTCCCCTGGATGGGAGAATGCCTTTTTTGCATTGTGACTTTTTGAAAATATAAATTATTATCTTTTGAGTTAGGTAAATGCATGAATTGATTGGGAATCAAACATTTCTGTTTTAGTTGCAAGGGCTTGGCCTTGGATCTGGAAGATGGAAACTTCATTAAACTTGCAGATAATGGCACCGTCCTCAGGTAATAAAATGTAGTTGTGAAGTCAAGACTTTACTCTTTTCAGGACACTTATTACTCTGTAATATTTTATCTGTAATATATAAAAAGCTAATATGCTTAGTGTCCATCTGGGTAATGACGTCACATAGCAATGCCCGGCTTCCTGTCCCTAGCGACTAGCCTCCTTGGAGTTTCTTCAGCCCAGGAACACAGGTGGAAACATTTTACACTTTAACCAAATGTCTGTGAAGCGTTTTTCCCATGCCTCATCTCATTTGATCCTCACAGAAGTCCTGGAGTAGGTAGATAGGAGACTTGGTGGAATCCTATTTTCTTTTCATTAGCCGGAAAACGGAGATTTAGAAACTTGACCCAACTGAAAAGAAGCAAGAAATAGTGGACCTTGAAAATGACTTCAGATTTTCTTACTGCACAGAATATAGTCAAACACTGCTGCAGTTAAATATTTTACCCTTTGTTCTCCCTGCGGTATCTACAATAATAATTTGCTTCATGTTGATATTTACTGCTGTGTTGCTGACAATTACCTGAAAGAGAGGTTGGGGTGCTTCACTGGGCTGGAAAAAGTTTAGCTAAGTCAGAAAGCAGGTCTAATTAAGCAAGTTTGTTCTGTATCTATAAAAGGCTAAGTTGACTCGCACATGCACGATACATATAAAGCTCTCACTGGCACCAATCGCATGCGTGTGTTTCGATCTGTTATTGTTGATTATGAATTTGGTTGACATTTCTATTATAGAGAAAAGGTGAATAGCAATATTAAAATATTTCTTCTAATTAATTTCCTTCCAATGTGCACAAATTCGTGCACCGGGCCACCCGTAGTTAAATAAGATCATTATTTTAGTCAGATGATAGATCATCTGTGTGCCTGCATGTCTTTGTATGAATCCTTTGATCCATTTAAATAACAAATCTGAGCATTAGGCTTCAACATCTAGTTTCTTTAAATTTAGCTCATTAGAAATATTTGCAGGAAATACAGTAGAACGTTAATAACTTGCTTCCCGTCATTGCCCACCCCTACTGCAAAGGAGCTTGGGAATTACATTGTGTTAGGTGGGTATGTAGGTACCTGGAATAAAGTAGGACGGTCGAAGGAGAGAATGGATATGGGATAGGAGTTTATGGTCTGTGCACACTTCTCTTCCTCCATTTATCCAAATTTGCCCCCATCATGCAGGATTCTGTGGTATCCTGGAAGGTTTTTCAAGACTTTTCAAATCTTCCTCAGTCTCTCCTGCACTCACTGCTGCCTCCCTTTCCTTCCCTCCTTTCAGGGTGAGTCCAACCCTTTGAGTGTTGGTAAAAGTAGGGCACGCATTTGAGAAGCAGTTGCTGTCACTGCTCTGAGCCTTAGAGAGGGATCACGGAGTGAGCATCTATCTTTCGCCCAATGCTGATAGTACAGTATGTCAGCATGGCCATGCAGCTGTGTGATTTATTATCCTATATAATAAAAGCCTAATATGCTAAGTGTCCGACTGTTTGTTCGACCATTCGAGCAGTTACTATGACACGCACTGACCACTAGGGAGCAGATGCTCTGACCGGTAGGTTAGCTTGCTGCTGGGGTCTGGCCAATCAGGACTGGGTGAGATGGGCTGGACACGCCCTGGAGCCCTCCTGTGGTCCCTTCCAGGCCCTGATCGTGCACCAGTGGGGTCCCTCAGCCTAGCCTGTGCCCTCTTGCAATCCGTGCACCGGGCCTCTAGTTTATACTAAGAGTCCAAGGAGAGGGTGCTCAGAGCAGGTTACTTCTTATACATACTCTCCCTTTTGATACATCATATTTTTTTGTACATTACAAATTCTTGCTCTCCCCCCGACTTTCCCTTAAAGTGCCTCTAGCTACAGCTGTTGGCGTGGCCCCACTTCTGATTATTTTGCATGTTTTTCCTTGGGCAACAGAGATAGAGTGTATGTATGCATGTATCTATATCTATATTTACATACAGACACACAGTGTAGCTTTGACTTTGACCTTTAACTTTGCTATCATTTTAGCACAAGGTACTTGTCTATCTCAGATCCTTGAGTTAAAGAATGGAAAGCATCCACAGTTTTGCTTCTTTCTTTCATTGTTATGTCAGTTCATCTCCCCTCCCCACACCCCTCCTGCAAGTCTGACCCTCTCCATTCAAGTTCTAGCTGCCCTGCAGCTTCTCCTGAACTGAGCTTTTCTCCTTGATGCCTGCTTCCATTGAATATAGGAGCTTCCTTGTCTTATCATAGTTCCCACTCAGGATTCTCCCATCGCTGCATACCACTTTCTAAAACATTAACCTCCTTACAAAAAGGAACCTATTTGTGATTTTTCCTCCATTTCTTTTCCCTTTAATTTTGCTTTGCTATCATAACCCCAAGCAAAGAAAAATGATACTCTCTAGCATTATCATGTCTCATAATAAACTACATAAAATATCAGCTGTTTCTCTATAGGCTAAGAGGCTTTCCTCGGGACCAACTGATGCAAGGGCAATATTGTGAGCACAGGAAATAGCTACATCCTGTCTTGCTGGTCCAAGTTTTGTCACATTTATCTCACTGCCATCCATTGTATTTTTTTTTTTTTTTTTTTTTTAATATATTTTATTGATTTTCCACAGAGAAGAAGGGAGAGGGATAGAGAGCTAGAAACATCGATGAGAGAGAGACATCGATCAGCTGCCTCTTGCACACCCCCCAGTGGGGATGCGCCCGCAACCAAGGTACATGCCCTTGACCGGAATCGAACCCGGGACCCCCGAGTCCGCAGGCCGACGCTCTATCCACTGAGCCAAACCGGTTCGGCATCCATCCATTGTATTTTTAGCTACGTTATGTCCTTGAAGGGGCAGGATGCTCGCTCATCTTCACAGTCTCCTGTGCCCACAAGCTGGCCACCCCCAGGTGCCAGGCTCCTCCCACCTCTCCTGCGGACCTGGTGCAGCTCACATGCTAACTCTCCTACCTGCTGCTTTCTCTCTCCTGCTCCCTGACCCAGTCCACACAGTTTGTTTTTTAATTGTTCCAGTTAGGTTCATCTTATCTTCACAGTTACATGACCGTTTCTTAGGAAAGGGTCGTGTCATATTCCTTCCAGAGAGATTATAGTTTATAGTTTCTGTGTTAGAGGTCCACATTGTGAGCTGCTACTGATCACTTGCTCGTTGGTGGATGAATGAAGAGCTAGAGCTGTCAAGAGAAATGCCTTACAGATTCCTAAATGGGGAAGTCATCCAATTGAAAACAGAAACAAATAAAACTTCTGTTAATTTTAGAAGGGATCCACAATAGCAAGGCTGGAAGGCGGGGTGTTCAAGGGAGCCATTGACGAGCAGTGTCCCTCATCTCCCCAAACCAGGGCTAGCCACGGCACCAGGATGCTGGCCCCCGAGGAGCTGGCCAAGGAGTACGGCGGGAGGGAGTGGAAGTACTTCATGTCTGACACTGGGATGGCTTTCCGATCAGGTATGTCTCACGTGGACAGCACTGCCATCCCCTCTCCTTTTCTTTTGGACCCTGAACCTGCTACACGAGGACATGAAGAAGGCCTTTCTCGTGTCCTGCTGGCCATGACATACAAGGAAGCAACTGTGGTTTTATAGAAATAGGATGTATTTTTCTTCCACATCTGTCTGATTTCTCTTTGGCAGTGGTTCTATGTTAATTAAGGTTTTATTGATACTCCTAGCACTTGTTCTAGAGCAGGGGTCCTCGAACTTTTTAAACAGGGGGCCAGTTCACTGTCCCTCAGACTGTTGGAGGGCCGGACTATAGTTTAAAAAAAAACTATGAACAAATTCCTATGCACACTGCACATATCTTATTTTGAAGTAAAAAAACAAAACGGGAACAAATACAATATTTGTATTTGCGTGTGGCCCGCGGGCCGTAGTTTGAGGACCCCTGATCTAGAGGAAAAAGACTAGCACTTAGGAGTAATACATCCCTTAGCAATCTGTATTTTTTATCAGTTTGTTATGGGCTCAGTCCTTACTTTTATTTCTCCATCCTCACTTCTTTCTCTTTTCTAAAATTTTCCTTTAGTTTTTTAAAAAATATATATATATTTTTATTGATTTCAGAGAGAAAGGGAGAAGGAGAGAGAGATAGAAACATAAATCATGAGAGAGAATCATCGATCAGCTGCCTCTTGCACGCCACACACTGGGGTTCAAGCCCGCAACACCGGGCATGTGCCCTAACCAGGAATCGAACCATGATTCGGTTCATAGGTCGACGCTCAACCACTGAGCCATGCTGGCCAGGCTAGAATTTTCCTTTTTACTGCCAGTTCTAGTATCTTTTCCCTTCATCTTTTCTTTTTCTTTATTTTAAATGATTGTAGGCATTTTTTTTCCAGTCTTTAAAGAGCTTCACCATGGGTACACATGAAAAGATTTTCAGAAATTTTTTACAGACATAGATGTGCATAAAGTAAAACATTGTTATAACCAGACCTTATTAAAAGTCATGATTACTGGTTTTTCATTTTTCCTAAATTTTTTTGCCATTTTCTCCCACACTACAATTTTGAAATGCATCTGTTCTCCTTTAGAAAATGTAATAACCTGGAAATAGTTAGTCCTTATCTTGCTTGTGTTTCCTTTCTTTGTTACATTTGCAGTCTTTTGAGAGCTTTGTTTTTGTGGAGAGATGAAAATTGCAGGAAGTATGAGTATTCTTGATAAAGTTAAGTTGATAGGCAATGCCGAGACTTCACATTGGGGTTAGACATAGAATGCTTTCGCACATGTCAGCTCAGAGTAACTAGCGGAAGTTAAATGGGCAGATAGCCTTTTAGTCAAGGGGGGATGGAGAATTGTTGTCTCTCTGGGTACAGGTGGTGGTAAGTAACCCAGAGAAGCGAGGCACATAGCTAAGTTCTGACATCCATTCAGTAACGGGGAGTGTTTTAAAGAATAAAGTATTTCCCAGCTGTCAAAGGACATTCGCCCACTCTGAGCCATCTGTGTACTCACCACTCAGCCCATTCTCCAGGGGGAATCAGCAGCTTCTTCTGGTGCTGAATTTGCCCAGGAGCCTCTGAGGATGGCCTGGAAGGTTATCTGCTCTTCATTGGGTTGGTTAGGGAACTGTTTTCACTCCAGGTGCCTGGTGGTCAGGCGGTGACATAACAGAGGCCTGTTGTTTCTACAAAATACTAAGAAGCTAATGCTTTTAAGAAACAATACTAACCCAGCCGGTTTGGCCCAGTGGATAGAGCGTCGGCCCACGGACTGAAGGGTCCCGGGTTCAATTCCAGTCAAGGGCACGTGCCTTGGTTGCAGGCTTGATCCTGGCCCTGGTCAGGTGCATTCGGGAGGCAACCAATCGATGTTTCTCTCTGTGTCTCTCCCCCTCCCTTCCACTCTCTTTAGAAATCAATGGAAAAATACACACTTATTTTTTTAGTGTAGAGATATATAAAAGAAGAAAAATGGCCTGTGGTTCTACAACCCAGTTAAACTTTATTTACATTAAAAAAAAATACACAATAACAATGTGATCATATGCTTAGGAGATTTAAAAAGTATAGAAAGGAATAAAATGAAGAGAAATTATGTCCAACCCCTGCCCCTCAAAATTCCCCTTTCCCAAAGCTTATTTTTTTAAAATTATACCACAGGGATCATACATTTTCTGTACTTTGCTCTTTGTAGCTTACATCTTAGCGATCCTGTCACATCAGCACACACACTGATGTACCTCATTCTTTTAAATGCTGGCATCCAGCGCCTGAATCACGATTTATTTTCTCAGTCCCCTGGTGGGGACATTGACATTGTGTCTGATGTTCGGCCATTACAGACAAGCCTGCAGTCACATTTTTCATACGTGTACAGTTTTCAGTTTCGTAAGTATATCCAGGGTGAACTCCTAGAAGTACAGATGCTCTCAGGATATGCAGGCTTAAAATGTTGATGAATATGGCCAAATAGCATGTTTCTTTACATGCCCTTTCCTTGTATTCATTGAGTCTATTTATCTCCGAGTTAAATAGAGAGTTGTGAAGTGCTTTCCCTACCAGTATATTTAGGGCATTGCAAGCACTAATGTTTTTTATAATCCCTTTTCAGGATGTTGACTTGGCATAAGTATGGTTTTCCTTACCAACCGATTACCAGAGAGCAAGTTCTTTTGAGCTTTTCTCTCACAAACGGGTAGATTATGTGGAAACAGCTTGGTGTAGTGGCAGTCACAAGGAACTTGGAGCCAGGCCTGGGTCATATTGACTCTGTTACTTGCTGGATAAAGAGATCTGGTCAATTCCTAAGCCACTGTTAGCATCACTTTCCTCATTTTTAAATGGAGATTTCACTCATCTGCGGAAGTGAGACTTAGGCTAACATAAATGGTTCTCTTCCCCTCAGTGGTTTCACTCATATGCCTGTGTTCCATGATCACTAAGAGTGTGTTGTTTGCAAAGAGAATAGTGTTGGCAGTGGATTAACCACCCTTGGGGAAAGGTATTTCTGTGTACAGAGCTTAATGGTTAAGGGACTTGGTCTTGATTCAGAGGCTTGCTTCATTGAGCTCACCAATCACTTCATTCCCAGTGAGCCGTCTGTTCTGTAAGCAGGTGGAGCGTTGACGCCTTCATACAGGACAGTCTCAGGGTTTTGGTGCTGGGAGAAGCATTGACAGCAGCCTGGCCCAGTTAATAGGTCAAGGCTGACTAAGCCTCACTGTGCACACAGGCCAGCCCATGTTTGACAGTTGAGTGACATCAGCCCCTGGCCTTGTGGGTGGAAGTCTGTGAGCCCTTCTCATTAAACTCCTGAGCTGTTTATTAGACTCCAAACAAGACACATCAATAGTCAACTCTTAAACTGAATTTCATCTCTTAATGCCCACCAAGGGAGAGACAGGGGATGGAAAAAAGGAGTATACACCTGGCAATGATGCTCTAAGGATACACAGGTTTATGGTGCTTAGGACAGCTAGCCATCAGGATCAGCAGGTCACTCTGGTGCCACAGGCAAGAAATAAGAGAATGTACAGGGTAATGAAATTTGCCCACTGTCTGGTTGGGGGAGCCCTGGAGTGTGGTGTGGTACAGAATAGCAGAGCGGGGGCAGAAGTGTATGTGGGATATCATCTTCCTTTTCCTCTAGATTTCTGGCAAAGCCCTTCCTAACCTTTCTTAAGCATAAAAAATAGTCTGAGATGTTCCCTCTAATAATTTCAGCATGAATTTGTTCCCAGTTTAAAATTTTGTTCTTTTTCAGGAAAGTATTATTTTTATGATAACTACTTTGACCTGCCAGGAGCTCTTCTGTGTGCCAGAGTGGTGGACTCTTTAACAAAGGTGAAAACTTTTTTTTTTTCATATTTTAGAAAACTGTGATGTACATATAAATCGGTATATGTGTTTTGAGTGGAGATTTTACTCAATTTCCATTTTGTGGTTCCAGAGGAGACCGAGGAAGAAACACAGAGAATTTGGCCAAAATGTTTTTGGAAAATTAAATAAGCAGTGACCATTTTTCCCCCCAGGGAGGATAAACCTGTTCTCCAGCAGGGGGTGCAAAAGTCTAGGGAAAAATACAGAACTTGGCATCTGCATACATTCTTACTGGGCAGGTTATGGTGGTTGACATGCCCCACACATATAATTTTTTTAGTGAAAGGTTTATCTTGGCCTTAAGCAAGCCCTGTCTATTGTTTCTGTGCATCTAGGTTAACACACCTTTGACATAAACTGTAGCCACCCTTAAGAGAGCACATAACCTTGTTAACTATCCTATAATCTAGCCCCCACCTTGCTTTCTCCCAACTCCATGTAATCTTCCTTGTTTCCTCATTAATTTCAAATGCATTAAAGAAGTTGCAAAACTCTATTCTCCAGAGCATTGGCGATCTTGTTCCCCCCATATGTCATCAATTTGGCTCAAATAAACTCTCATAAAAAATATCTACAGGTTTAAACATTCTTACATAGACATCTTCAAGTCTACAGTGTGGCTTTAACTCTGCATTTTCTACTGGTCCCATGTGCCAGCTGTTAGGTCAGAAGGGGGTCCAGGAGCTGATGCATGCCTCCGCCAGGCAGATGGTGACTCAGGTACTGGGCCCTTCCTAGAATCCGTAACAGGCCAGTGCATCAGGCAGATGAGGACACCTGGAAACCGTGACGACCCCCGCAGCAGGAACTCCCACAGCTCATGCTCCCCCGCCCTCACTGAACAGCTGTATAAAAAAAAGCGCCCCCCTCCCTGTTGGTGCGGATCCACATGCCCTGTCTTTGGGGTCCGTGGGTCGCCCGGGGACGCAGAATAAAGCCTTTCCTTTCTTTCTTTTCTGATTAACTGGACTCTCTTTATTTCCTACGCCGCCTCCTGAGCCACCTACCCTAACATTTGGTGCCGAAACCCGGGACTCAGTTCCCTGCGCCGCGAACCTCACACCAGCAAAAAATAAAAAAATTGTGCCTGTTCCTTGCCTCAGTTTTCTGTGGCTCAAGGCATACACACCCGTTTTAGATTTCATATTTTGAGGGGTGGATCAGAAGCAATGTGCATCGACTGTTTGCTTCTTCAGATAATGTAGTCTGGTTATGGAATAGAAGCTCACTGCTTTCAAATGAAACAAAAGAATAGAAGTGTTTTATTTTGCTTTCAACTTGTAGAATCGACAAGGGAAATAACAGGAAAGGAGAATATGCAAAATTTTGATTAATGTCAGTTCAGTAAATGCTTACTTGGTTTTTTAAAGCGATAAAAAAAAGAACTTCCATCTGGAAAAATATTTTCTTCGTTTTATTAACAATAAAAAAGTAAAGGTTATTAAGAAAATTCGACATGTCCTTAAGCATTCTAAATAATATAAAATGAGAGGAAATGAGATGAAATTTTAAAATTAATCATTTTGAGCATAGTTTAATGCATATATACTTATACTTAGAATTTAAGATCTATGAACATAAACTGGCTTTATGTCAGAATCACTTTCCTTTTGGCATACGTTATCTTTTAAAATCACAGTGATCATGTTTATTTTAGAACACAGGTAATGGTTTATTTTTTACTCAGAATTACCGTCATGTGTTTATGACAGTTTCTGTAGAGCATTAGTTCTGGTGTGTTTGTAGAAATTGTTATTAACAGGAGATAGAGTCAGTTTCTCGTTTCATAGTGACTACAAGCAAATGTATCAGTCTTTAAATATTTTGGAGTTTTTAATAATAGATACAAATATCTAGTAATTGGTCTTCGTTTAGATGGAAACACTGCTTACTATTTCCAAGGGAGCAAAAGGTTGTAGGGTTGTGTGTTTCAATGTAATGTTTACTTGCTTTCTGGTTTAAAAAAGTCTTAATAAAAAATGATTTACGTTCTGGACTTGGAATCTCCTTCATGCCTCCTATAGAGACTTGCTGCTCTTTTATATTGAAATTCAGGTACGTGTGCACTGAATTCTTAAGTAACCAGCTTTAAGGTTTCAGGCTTTGTAGTCCCATTGATGCCATTGTACACAGAGTAACACATTCTGATGTCTCAGAGGCTATAACAGTAAATTTATTCCTGTGTTTAAAATATCCTGTCATTTTCATGCTTTCTAATGAGTGGAAATTTTTATTTTATTTGGGTTATATGAGTTATATTAATATAGTTGTGTGTGTGGATACACATCTTTGTAGCAGTAATTTTCATGGATGATTTTTATTTTTTTAAAACATGTTTAGAAGAATGAGAAGTTTATTAACCCAGTATGTTTTCTGAAAATAAGTCCCTATTTTCGAATATAGTAATATTGTAATTGTTTGCCAAGTATTTTCTATTATGTGTAAAAAAGAATTATTGTATATGTGACATTTGGATTTTTTTTTTTTTAGCAGAACAATGGTCAGAAAACATTTGATTTTTGGAAGGATATAGTTGCTGGTATTCAACACAATTATAAGATGTCAGCTTTTAGGGGTGAGTAATGGGAATACTTTCTAATAGATGTTAAATGCTATGTGTTTAGTGAATTACTTAGACATTACCTAATCTGCTACGTTCCTTAATTGGGACTTAATTTGATCCTAAATATCAATATAAAGTTTGTACCATTTAAGAGGTCCTTTTGTTTATATCTGTCTCATGGCCATAATTGCCAACATCTTGAGCTGTGCCGTCTTTTGCATACCTGTCAGTGGGGTCGTTCGGTCCATTCTCGAGAACTGAAGTTCTGGTGTTGCCCTTCCCTGATTTGGGAATGAGGGCTGGTGACACCTGTAACCTGTTACAGTTTGGAAAAAGTGAAAATGCCATTGTTTTTGCTTAAAAAACAGGACTAGCTGACCCAGAATGGGGGCAGAGATATCACCAACCCGAGCCCAGGGTTTCATGGTTCTGTTCACAGGTTTGCTTGAGATACACATGTTACTGCTAAGGAATAGAGATGCCTTTATAGTATGTGACCCTGGTGACCTCAGCCAGACTGTCCTGATTCAGCCAGTGGGCAGCTGATAGATGCGCAAGAGCAGTACTTTTTGAGCTTAGAAAAATGTTGCCCCCCTTTTTATTTATTTTTTGGCAGAGAAAGGCAGGGCGGAGAGAGGGAGGGGAGGGGAGGGGGGAGGGAGGGAGAGATTGAGAGAGACTGAGATTTGGTTGCCACCTGTTGGTGTATGGGAGGATGCTCCAACCAACTGAGCCAAAACAGCCAGGAAAAATATTGCCTTTTGATTGACATAAACATTTCTTGCCTTTTAATGTAATTTAAGCCATCAAAATAATCTTAAATATTATGACTAAAAACACATCAAGGCAACAAATTGTAATTGCAGAATATTTGTTCAAATTACATATTTCTCTGCCGCCTCTTTCTTTCCCTCCCAGAAGAAAATCGCTGATCGGGGGTGATTACCTCACTTTTCTCTCCCAGCCACCCGTCCTTCACTGGCTTGTGGGTCCCGTGTGGTGCTGAGGGGTCACAGGTACACTCAGTGCCCGGGTGTGTGGGAATGCCCATCTCCAGTGGAGAGGCGTGTCCTTGACAACGGTGAAGCCACCCACCACTTCATTGTTTTACTTTTTATTCGCTTTGTAAAATGAGGAGCCTTAAAAGAATGGTTGAGAATGGCACATTGCTACTGGCAAATAAATTCCGCACAGAAATCTATGGATGTTATTTTATTGCATTGTAAATAAGGAGTAGGTAAAACATTTCGTGCTTTCGTAAGTGAGGTACAGCTTATGACTTTTAAACAGCAATATAAAAATACAGTACAGAGCATAAATAAATAATGTCTTTTCATTTCTAGGCAGATTTTGAAACCTTTGACATTAGTTATAATTTCACTGGAATGGGAGGCACAAGGTACAGACTGTAAACCCACAAAATCATCTGATATAAAACTCAATAAAGGAATTAAATCAAATTAATTATACTTGTATTAAATAAATACATTAGGTCAGACACCAACTTCCAAGTTGTGAAGGGTATATAGAAAGCCTTTCTGCAATCACAGAAAAGTTTGTAAAGGTTCATAACCAAAGCACCTTGCATTTCTGGTTAATTTTAACATTATATTTTGTGAGTTTTTTATGAGAGCCATAAAAAAATCTATATGCACCTCTATATATGAATAGATTTTTTCACAAGGGGCCATTTAAGCCTTGGAGTAATGCACCATCAGAAAGATCCTATGATATATAATGTCTTCTAAATTTGAATATTCAAGTATTTAAGTCCTATACAGATATACCTCTTGAATGTTTCCTAGAAGTTCTGTTAACTGTTAGAAAACAGGCTTATTTTAAAAGGAAATGCTGAGATTCTGAAATCAAATTTAACGTGATGTAGCATCACGGATCAGGGTTTTGTGATCATTTTGTATTTTGGCTTGGCAGGACTTTTATGGTGAGATTTTTAAGCACTAAAGGACTTCACAGAAAACTTGAAATGTCTTAGGACTGCTGACTAGGAATTTGACAGGGTCTTCTATTGGTTACCGTTGCTGCTCGCTTTTCAGAGGGAAAACTGGTTGGTCTGAAAGCTCAAATCTGTATTGAAATGACTGCTATCTTTTTCAGCCTACGTCCATACGCATTTTGTGGGGCGGGCGACGTTGGGGAATGCCTTTTCAAGCAGATTTATATTAGCTTCGTGCGAATATGCTCACATCGGAGCCACTAAGAATCCTGAGAAAGATGAGTGGACGTACTCAGAGGAGTACAGGCCATTGGACTCGGCGTTGGGCAGTTGGAGCCACACCTGGTCATTTTCTGCGAGGTCGATGATGGCACTGCCCGAAGCCTGGTCCAGGTAGCCCTTGGTGTATTCATCATACGTGTACATGACGGGGGTGCCGTTCTTATACAGGCCAACCCAAACATGGGTCCCTTTCACATGCACATGATAGGAGAAATAGTAGATTCCCGGAATCTTGCAGGTGAAGATTCCAGTTCTCGGGTCATAATGCTGTTGCTTGTTATACAAAATCTTATCAAATGGGATGGGAGCACCTATTGCTGGGTAAGCTTTGGAGAGGATAACGGAGAAAGCAGACACGGGCATTCCTGTCACACCCTGGTTGGCACTGACAAGGGGCATCCCCGAAATACTAGGCCTTTGGCCCGCCTTTGTGAAGCTTTCAGGAGCGACTGCCTGCCCTGGGGGCCCTGGAGGACCGGGGGGCCCTGGAAGGCCCGGCTCTCCGGCGTGGCCTCTCGGACCTGGAGGCCCGGGTGGCCCTGTGGGTCCATTGAGGCCCTTAGTTGCTATGCCAGCTGGGCCAGGAAGACCTGGAGTCCCTGGATCCCCTTTAGATCCAGGGAACCCTGGAATGCCGGGTGGCCCAATGGGGCCTCTGGTGCCTGGTATTCCAGGAGCACCTCTGGGACCTGCCTCACCATTGTGTCCAGGCATTCCCTTCGCTCCTGCGGGGCCTGCAGGGCCTGGGAGACCAGGAGGTCCTTCTACTCCAGGGTCACCTTTGGGTCCTGGCAGCCCTGGGTGGCCCTTGGGACCATCGAGACCGGGTTCTCCCGGGTACCCTGGTTTCCCATCTAAGCCGGAGGGACCCCTTTCTCCCTTAGTCCCTGGGCGTCCTGCAGGCCCAGGTGGCCCTGCCTCACCTTTAGGGCCTGGCATTCCATGGTGGCCCGGGATGCCCTTTGGTCCTTGGGGTCCCACATTTCCAGGGGGTCCAGCCAGACCTGGCTCCCCGGGACGGCCTGCCGGGCCTTGCTCCCCTTTGGCACCCGGGCCCCCTGGAAGGCCGGGAGGTCCTCTTTGTCCCTGAAGGCCTGGCAAGCCTGGTTTCCCAAAGCCAGGAGGCCCTGGGGGTCCCGCGATTCCCGGAACCCCGGGGTGACCTTTGGTTCCTGGGACCCCTGGCTGGCCTGGGGCTCCGGCGGCTCCCGGCTTTCCAATGCCTTCTGGTCCTCGTTCCCCAGGAGGACCTTGGGGGCCTGGTAGGCCAATTGGCCCCCTTTCTCCTGGAAAGCCCCGATCACCCTTGATGCCTGGCTGCCCTGGAAACCCATTTTCACCCTTTTTTCCCACTCCAGGAGGGCCAGGAGGTCCCATGGGCCCCTGAGGACCGGGAAGGCCCCTCTCACCTGGACGGCCTGGGGCACCATATCTGGTTTCTCCTTTCTGTCCATTTACACCGGGGACTCCCGGTGCACCCTTTTCTCCGGGAAGGCCTCTGGGTCCCGGGGCTCCTGGCGGTCCCTGTTGTCCAGGTTTTCCTGACACAGAAATTCCAGCCGGGCCGGGAATTCCAGGTGGTCCTGGTGGGCCCCGTGGTCCTGGTAAACCAGCTGGTCCAACATCTCCTTTTGGTCCATAAGGTCCTCTCTCCCCTGGTTTTCCTGGCAGTCCCGGTGTGCCTGGCTTCCCCATGCCTGATGGGCCCGGTGGTCCTGGCAACCCTGGCTCTCCTTGGGGTCCAGGACTTCCATAGCCTGGTTTTCCTGGTGGCCCAGAGGGGCCTGGGTGCCCTCGAGGTCCAGCGGGGCCTGGTGGACCAGGAGTACCTTGCTGTCCTCGTACTGGTATACCTAAAAGACATGCCAAACAAACACACCCAGAGAGGGGCATCGTTAGTAACACTAAGGATAATCATTGCTTCTGGAGATGTGAATCAGGACAGAGCATTGCAGTGTCAATCAGTCCTTTTTGGCTGATCAGTCTTAAATGGTTTTACACAGTGCATTTTATATGGTTTTTAAAAACACTGCCGGAGAACATGGTTTTACAAGACTACGGCTACCATAATGCTTTCATTACAAGCTAATGACCCATGAAAATAAGCTGGGGTTGAAGAATCCATCTACTAGTATAATAAGAGTGCAGTGGAAGCAGATTTATTACATTTATTTTGGGGAAGTCATCTTCCTAGGAAGAAAAGAAAGAAAAACAGTATCTTACAGAGAAGGAAGAAAAAGACAAGTGCAGGATAAATGGGAAAATATTTAAGAATGATAACAATTTTCCCTCACAAAAGCTGTTCTATAAGACATAAATAAGAAATGTCCTTAATTATAATTTACATCAGCCATGGTCCTGCTAAACACAGGTTTTAGATTTAAGTTGAATTTTTATTTTCAATCTCAGCACACACTGTGCACTCCTGCAGTCTCCGTTATTGACTTAAAATTGAAACAAAGGGTTAGAGAATTAGACCTAAAGGGAGAGGTACATAAAGTAGTGTTATGTACTTATCTAAAGTTTTCCTTGATAAATGCACATAAATATTGTTGATGTCATAGTGCTGTGGGTTCATTTGAGCTAACTACTTCTCATAATATAATACATTTAAACTAAAAAAATCACTTATTTAGCCGGTTTGGCTCAGTGGATAGTGCTTTGGCCTGCAGGCTGAAGGTTCCCTGGTTCGATTCTGGTCAAGGGCACATGCCCGGGTTGCAGGCTCAATAATCCCCAGTAGGGGACATGCAGGAAGCAGCCAATCAATGATTCT